TAAAACATGCTATAAATGTACAATATGAGTTCTAGAATATCACAATCCACCCCTTTAAGCCCAAACGTTTTTGTTTGGGCCCCTCTCCAGGTGACATGGGCTGCATGGGAGGAGTGAGTCCTACCACCTTGGGTGTCACCGTTCTTATCCACCACTCCGCTTGCACTGGAGTGAGTTCCATCACTTTATGTGGGTCTAATAGATTCACATATTTATGATTCAAACATGTTAAGATCAAATCCAAGCCCATTGATTTTGTATTGATTCGTGCCTTTATTGTGTTAGCTTTTGTCGAGCTTAGTGACGATCCAACCAATTGCAATTGACATCATTGGCATTGTGTTGTGCCTCACAAGTTAAATGCGTTAACATCTCTTTACACATAACTCTTGATATAGAAGAAGTTGGACAGGTAAAGAGACAAAAATATAGACTTTCAAGTGTCACAATCGACCCTCTCTAATGCTTCGTTTAATATCATAGAAAAATAGAAGGATAGAAGATTAGAATGATAGATAAAACATCATATTTGGTAAGGAGGGAAAATAAGAAAATAGGAAAGATATAAAAGTGGATGAATGAGCTTTCTTTCAAACTTACCAAAATCAATCCCTCAAAAATTGAAAGGAAAGTGAATGAAAAGTTAATTATTTGTATTAAAATATATCTTATTTGTTTATATATCATTTAATATCTATATAATAAAATAGATGAGAGTTTGAAATTTTATCACTCACACATTTTCCTCCCTAAATCCATCATATCTCACTTGTATGTATATATATATATATATATATATATATATATATATATATTATGTATACATTAATTTCATATATAAATACAATGATAAAATATGTATTTATATTTTTTCTTAAAAAAAATTTTAAAAATAACAATTTTTTAAAAATTAAAAATTTTAAAAATAAAATTAAAAATTAAAAAAATATTTTTTCCATCTTACCAATCACAAAAAAAAAAAATAATAATTATTTTTATTTTTCCATCCATCGTACTAAACATAAAAGAAGAAAAACGTATCATTCCTACTTTCTTTCCTTAGAGGATAGAAAGTGTATCCTCCTTCTTTCCATTACTCCTACTTTTCATCCTTCTACCAAACGAAACATAAAAATCCACAAGTCCACACATTCCCATGTGGGATCCATCCATTACAATAACATAATAACAATTACTATGTTATTAAATCAACAAATTAAGTTCATTTTTAATGTCCTAATAACATTATTGTAATCATAGTGATTATATATACAGCTTAGTGACCATCTCTATTTATGGTCAAACACCTCCCCCAACATTCTCACCTTAACGTTGAGGAAGTTCTATAAGCACCAATGGTTCCACATGTTAATTAAAATAGGGCAGTGAAGTTACTATAAAGTCGCATGTGGTTGGCTATCAATACATTATTGGATACTCAAATCTACATCCCACCATTTTTTAATAAACGCCAGAACCATGTAAACAATAAAAGAATTGAAAAGAAGAAGAAAATATTACCATAAAAAGGGGCCAGTCAAAGAAAGAAGACAATGATTTATATAGCTTAATGTTGTGGATGTCTTGTATTATGGTTCGATTCGTATATGTCTCGACATGCCAGGAGTCATAGACTAGGCTTTTCTGGGGGTAAATTTTTTTAGAACCTATGCTTAGAAACTGGTCCAAAATGTAGATTGATGGTGCTTCGGAAGGGTGCGATCATATCAACACTAATGCACTAAATTTTTTTATAACTTTGCAGTTAAGCGTGTTTGAGCGAGAATAGTATTAAAATGGGTGATCCATTGAGAAGATCTCGTATTGTACCCCTTTCAAAAAAGAAAAAGAAAAGGATGCTGCTTTAGAAATTTGATCTCTTCACAATTTGAGTTTCTGATTATATTACGAAATAAGGATATTTGGATACAATAACTATTGCAAATTTTGGAAATGAAGTTTGATTTATGTATTCGCCGGTTTAGAGAATTGTTTGATCTTTGATAGTGAAACTTTGGTTCACATACGTAAATTTCAGAAGTGGACCACGTAAATATGTGTGTTTTATATTTTTTTTTATTTCGCATTGTTATTTATTTGTGGGTCTCGTGCATATGAATTTAAAAGATTGTTCATAACAAACCTAAAACCAAGCCATTCTTTTTTATTAATAGGTATATTCCACTGTGATTAATTTAATCCTGTTCATGGTAAACCTACAACCAAGCCATTTGTATTTTATTATCAATTGTTATATTCCTCTCTGATTAATATATTTGTGAAACTAACAAGTTGATGGATTTAATCAAAATATAAAACTGGTAGAATAGTTGACTCCCGAGACCACAACCTCATTCAGACAGGCTACTAGGTTTAATAATAATTACGTTTTATTCTAGAAGTACTTCATTGCGGAAATAAAAAAAGAAAAAGAAAAATATTATTTGTAGCTAAATGTTGACCTAATTGTGAATATGTAAATGAAGGTTACAAATTTGGTCAAGAGGAAGGAACTTATAATATTGTAGTTACTCATGATTATTTTGGCCGATTAATTTTTCAATATGTGATTTGCAACAACTCTTGTTTTTTTAACATTTCTTTTTAGTTACTTGGCCTATAGTAGGTATCTGGTTCATTACTTTAGGTATCAACACTATGCTTTCAATTTCAATCAATTTGTAGTTGGTAGAATAATTTTTTCCTTTGAGAATAATCAAAAGAAAAATTAAAAATATGCAATTGCAATATGAAAACGTGACCAAATTGGTTTTAGTTACTCTTTAGGGTGGAGTGGAAGAATGAAAGGAATTCTCGAACGTAGAAAATGATCCAATGCCTTCAAAGGAGTTGAATGAGGAGCCGTAGAAGTGAAAATCTCACAACCATTTAATTGACAATAGACTCTAAAAAATACTGGAACTCACAGTTAAATCAACGAAAGTAATTAATAAAGTTTTCAAATCATGTTAGTATTTTAGATTCAAGTAGCATTGCTCATAAACAAGAACTTTGTTGACATCATGTCTCCAGAAAATAACGGATTAACCTAGCTTGACCTCCCAATAAATTAAAAACCACATTCAATAATTTTGTGAAAATGACTAAATGTTAGATTTATTTTTTTTAGGGCTAGTGGAGGTGGGTGGAAATGTTAATCGAGCCAAGTCTTTTGAGTTTTTCTAAGCTGATGCTCAACTACAAGTGATTGTCACAAATTTCAACTTGATGACAGAGTTTGGATACTTGTTCAAGCTCAGCTTGTTAATCTTATAATCGGGCTTGGTTCAACTAGGCTACTTGTACACTACAAGCTTGAACTCGAGCTCAAGTTCGAGGAAATAAGAAAAAGAAAAAAAACTCATGCCCAATAAAGCAAAAACACATAATCTCTTGATTAAAAATCAGGTTTTGTATGCCTAAAACATAACATTCGTTAAAATTAAGACAAAACGAATGAAACTTAAATAGCTCAGTTTGTTTAACAACACTTACTTATTGCTTTTCAAATGACACAATATATCTCTAGTTTGAGAGAAAGAATGTCCAAATCGCAGATTCACACAACATCCACCCAAAACTTTTGTATGTCAAATGTGTCACTACAAGAAAACAAAACTATGTTACTACTTTATTGGGAAGGCCATGACGATATCGTAGCGAAAATTATAATATTTTAAAATTAAGTTACAAATTTTTTGAACTGTAATTTATAATTAAATGACGTTATCGATCATAGAAAGTTGTGATTGATACCAAGATTTTTATAATCAATCATGAGTATCTGTAATCGATCATGACCTTTCTTTTCATGATCAATTATGAGTGTCTACGATATATCATAATCTTTTTTTGAGCTAGTATAACTTCTCTTTTTAAAGTTATAATTTTACCTATAAAAATTAATAACCGATAGTACAATAGTAATTTTTTTTCGATATTGTAGAATTTACCCTACTTTATATGTTATATCTCTCAAAATGTTTAACCATATAGCTAAAATCCCCTCCATCATGACTTATATATACTTCCCCTCATACATGATCCATATCCATTTTTCTAGTTTTTTTTTTTTTTTTGGCAAAATGAATTACCACCCTATAGTTTGAGTTAGTGATATACTTTATCATTCTATAATTTGAGTTGGTAAATCACAACGTGTATAGATTTGAAAACTTAGGGAGGTAATATATCACTAATTAAAACTTCATGGCCGGAGATAAATATAATTCCCCCCCCCCCCCCCCCCCTCTTTTTTTCCCTAAAGACATGATTGAAGTTCATATTATTAGTCATCTTTTTGATTGCTGTGGATCTGCTGTTGGCAGAGCCCCCTCACCAACTTAAAGCTAATAAAAAAAAAGGTGAATTCATCAATAATTTCGTTTCATCTGTTTTTTTTTTAATATTTTAGAATTCTACACTCCAATTATTTTTGCACACGAGAACCATGCACATCACAAGGAATTGAAAAGAAAATCAAAACTCGATCTATTTTATTGCCTTAAAATCTGAAAAATATTCCTTTGTGAAGACAAGAATTCTATATTGACAACCACTCTCTCTAAAGGAACTCTTTGTCCAATCATTTGGAAAATCTTTACTGTGGCAGTCTCTCTGCCCCAAACTTTGGCATAAATATGTCTAGCCATCTTCTTGTTGAGGTGGTTGTACAACTAACACGAGAGAGAGAGAGAGAGAGAGAGAGAGAGAGAGAGAGGTATTTTCAGATGGTGATAGTTCTTGGGTTATTTCTAAAATGATTTTCTGCTGGAAGTGTCACTGTTAAGCAGGTTTTTGAGGTATTTTCAAATAGATATTCAGATCAAGTGTCATTTTTAGCCTACACACACCCCGCTCGTAGTGACACCTACATCCCACATATAAATATCCATTTTTGCTACCAATTCTGCAGAACAGCTATGTTAATTTGCTCTTGTTTGCTCATTTGATCTCATTCTATTTCACATATTACTCTCTCCAAAGTGTAGTACAGAGAAATGAATCTATCAGTAAATGGTCAGTCTCAAGTCCCTCCGGGTTTTCGATTCCATCCGACAGAAGAGGAGCTTCTGTGTTACTACTTGAGGAAGAAAGTTGCCCATGAAATGATAGACTTCAATGTAATTCGTGAGGTTGATCTTAACAAGCTTGAACCATGGGATATCCAAGGTAAATTCAACCTCTATTTCTGTGATTAGCTTTTATAGTATCCAATTTACTATGATCTGTGCAAGTTTTATGATTTACCCTAATTATGGTGTTAGTGGTGTTCTTGGTTTTGTAGAGAGGTGCAAAATAGGAGGCACCCCACAAAATGAATGGTACTTCTTCTGTCACAAAGATAGAAAATACCCAACTGGGAGTCGCACAAATCGTGCGACTACAGCCGGATTCTGGAAGGCTACAGGCCGTGATAAGGTCTTATACAGCTGCTATAGAAAAATTGGAATGAGGAAGACTTTGGTGTTCTACGAAGGGCGAGCGCCATGCGGGCAAAAATCAGATTGGATCATCTATGAATATAGGCTAGATGACAGCACCCATGAGACAAAGGTAAGCCAGGATCTTTATTTCTACTGAAATTTCAGGGCATGATTTTTCAATCCAAAATACCTTGATTTTTAAATACAAGTTTGAAAGAGAAATAACGGGGGTTCTAACTGATCTCATCTACATTATACATTATACAAGAGACTACTAAAATGTCATGTCTTGATAGCACTATATTACTTTTGGATACTGTTGTTGTAATGCTCTTGAGTAATGCATTCATAAACTCTAGTCTTTGAACATGTAGTAATTCATAATTGATGATACTTTTGTTAATCCAGGGCTCGAATCTAAAACGAATTTCAACTCCAGAAGATCCTTGGGCTGTATGCCGAATTTTCAGAAAGAGAAACTTCCACAAGACTCCCCAGACTCCCCAACACACATCGTCGTCTTTGGATTCAAAGACCCAACCTTATAACTCAATCGACAATGATGGTGTTCTTAATAAAATAGTTAAAAACAAGACAAAGTGTTGCAAGCAAGAAAAAAGAGAAATCATTGATAGGAAAATCAATAACAATAAGCTATTGCATTACCGGAATCAAATTGACAGGGAAATCAGTAAGGAGTTTCCCAATATGTTCATGCATTTTCCAATTCCAAGTCCAGCAATTCCAGCTGCTTCAATATCACTTGCTGTCGATAATTTAGATTTTAAACAAGACTCTTGTTTTGAGGATTGTGGTCTTTTGTTCAATGAGATGCTCTCAGAAACTGAACCTTCGGGCACCAACCCTGGCAGTGCTTGCACAGTCAAAATGGGCGAGGCACGGGAGGAAGGGCCTTGTGGTTGGGCTGCAGTGGACCAGCTTGTAGCAATTCAGCTCAATGGCCAATCCGAGACACCAGAGCAATTATCCGGCTATGGTCACTTCACCAAGGACTTCTGTTTATCTCCTCACGATGATGCAGCATCATCCCAATTATGTTCAAATGGACCAAATCAAGCTGCCCAAGTATATGGAAACGAGATTGATCTTTGGAGCTTTACATGATCAGGTCCCGAGGATCCAGTCATTGCTAGATTTTAGGAGGGTTTTATGTACATTTTACCCACATTTGTTGAGACTAGTTTTCCCTATAATATGCTCATGTGGTTATTGTAATTAACTCTTATGTACCTTGTTGAATATTTGATCATTGTAAATGATAGTTAATTTATGACTGTCAGGTGTCAACTATTGTTAGTCTTAGAGATCCTTGTCTTATATTTAGTTTGTTTTGGCCGCTCTTTTATGTTCTTTAAGCTCTTTTGCCTATAAATATATACATTATAGGTGTTGCTTGAATTTGTCATCCATCCATGATGAATAGAGCTAGATCTGCTTGTCGGATTTTAGCTCACTGTGGGTGGTTTATGAAGGAAAAACTTCAATCAAACCCCTTGTATTTTTTGCATTGTTATTATCTCCAAGGGTATTTTTTTTGAATGTGTCCTTTATGACCCACAAAAAAGATACAGGTTGAACTTAAAAACCGAAAAGTCATGTACGTAGGACTTGGAATCGAGTTTTTCTTCTATTTATTAAACTTGGATATATATTAAATGTAATAGGAAAAAATCTCACCTTTTGATTTTGGTTTAGTTGAGAAAGAGTGAACAAAAGGTGTCGTGTTTGATGGGTTAAGCCCAAATAGTCCAATTTATGTGTTAAAGTCCAACTCCAGTTGAGGAGACCAACCTCATTTTGAATCTACCAAGTCCAAGACAGTCCAAAATCGGTTAGACTTTTTGCTTAGCACGTCATCAAGAGGAGAGCATGAGAAACTTATCTGCACCACCGAAGGAAACGGTCCAAGCTTTGACCACGTTTCATGAAGAGCTCCCCAACCTCCTCCTTCCCTTGAGGATAAGTCATGATCTCCACCAGAATGATCTCTTAACTGCGATAAAGTAGCCTTGAGGATAAGTTATGATCTCCACCAGAATGATCTCTTAGCTGCGATAAAGTAGCCTTGAGGATAAGTCATGATCTCCACAAGAATGATATCTTAGCTGCTATAAAGTAGCCCCAATCTGTGAGGAGACGGGAGATGAAGGTCACGCCCCACCAACACTTACAGAGGACAGACCGACGACCGGAGACCATTCCTTCTTTGATTCTCCATTCTCTCAAAGCTTGTATCTCTATTCTCCATACCTCTGAATTAATAAAATACCCGGCAACTGAAGCCATTGAAGAGTGGACGTAGGTCGAATTGATCGAACCGCTATAAATTATGTCTTCTTTAATTTTTTCATTGATTTCATTACATTTATTACCTACACTTGACAGGTGGTGTGCAAAATTATTTTTGTGCATCATCAGTTTGGCGCCGTCTGTGGGAATCATTCAAAATTCTCACTCCTGAACATTACATCCATTAACTAATGGCAATCACTACTCGATCCATGAACCAACATGAAGACAATCCTCCACGAGAGGAGGAGGTTGCTCCCCCGCCTATCAACCCTGTTCCGGATACTCTAGCCCCGAATCCCCAGCAAATATTGGAGACCATGCAGCAACTGGTTGCTCAAAACCAACAATTACTGCAACTCATACTTGCTGGACAAGGAGGAGCACCACACGGAGGTGCACAACATGGAGGACACCAAGGTGGAGCACCACACGGAGGTGCACAACGTGGAGCACCACACGGAGATGCACAACATGGAGGGCCCCATGAAGGTGCACAACATAGAGCACCCCAGGGAGCTCCACGTCCTGGACATCAAGGAGCACCACGCCCGGGCACCCCATTGGGCACCCCACTTCGGGAAGCCCAACATGAGGGAGCTCCACCTCCCCCTCCCCTTGCTTCCCAGGGAAAGGACCCTTATCTCCAGGAGGATGAGGGTGAAAACCAAAGCATGGAGCATGGAAGCCACTTCCATGATCATTCCAGAGGAGCCCCCAATTATTGGGACGAAAATATAAAGGAGGTACAGAATCAACTCGGTGATGTCTTCAACGCCATGAAGGCACAGGGACCCGAGACTGTTGACCACCTGGTAAGGCGTACTGATATGCCTTTCAAACCTGATGTAGCAAACTACCCCCTCCCTCAGAAGTTCAAAATGCCATCTCTGGAGACCTTTGATGGAACAAAGGATCCACTGGACCACCTCGATACTTACAAGACCTTGATGCAATTGCACAACGTAGCATACGAAATCATGTGCAGGGCATTCCCAACCACGTTAAAGAGGTCTGCCCGACAGTGGTTTGCTAAGCTCTCCCCCGCCTCTATTGCCTCTTTCGCCGAGCTTAGCAGATCATTCGTCTCACACTTCATTGGAGGGCGTCGCCACCAGAAGCCAGTTACGCATCTGCTTAGTATAAAGCAGGACCGCGAGGAGAACATGAGGAGTTACCTCACTCGTTTTAACGAGGAGGTACTCCAAGTTGATGAACCCGACGACAAGGTGACGATGACCGCCTTCTTGGGTGGCCGCCGTTCATCAAGTTTCCTTTTCTCAGTTCTGAAGCGCCCACCGAAGAGCATGTCAGAGCTGCTAGCCAAGGCCCAAAAGTACATAAACGCAGAAGACATCACAAGGGCCAGGCGGGGTGAGTCTTCCAGAGCAGGGATAAAAGGAAGGAAAGGGAGAGGGACGATAAGAAGGGGACCAGCAACAAACATGGCAGGACAGAGAAAGTCCCTGTCAAGGACCGGCTAGGTCCTGCTCCTCAGAGGAACCGTCAACCCTTCACTCCCCTCAATGCTTCCGTGGAACACATCCTATTCCAGATCCAGGATGACCCCGCGATAAAGTGGCCTGGAAAAATGAAGTCTCCTTCAAATCGCAGAAATCCTAACAAGTATTGCCGCTTCCATCGTGACCACGGGCATGACATCGACGATTGCTACGACCTCAAGAGGCAAATTGAGGGGCTCATCCAAGTGGTCACTTACGCCAGTACGTTGCTGGAAGGGAACGAGCACCACAACCTCACAACCAGGAAGATCAGCAGCCAGTAGGGGAAATCCACACCATCTCAGGGGGACTAGCAGGTGGGGGAGAATCACTTTGCGATGAAGGCCCATGCCAGAAGGCAAGACATGTCTACGAGATGCGCCCATCTAAGGTGCCGAAGCAGGAAGGCGACGTGGTCATATCTTTTTCAGACAAGGACCTGGAGGAAATCCAACACCCCCATGACGACCCCTTGGTGCTCACCATGACGGTGGCCAATTTTCATGTGCACAGGATCCTGGTGGATAGTGGCAGCTCTGCGGATATCCTGTTTGCAGAGGCCTATGACAAGCTCAACCTGGGCAGGGAGAGGCTACAGCCAATCAGGTCACCCCTCATTGGATTCTCAGGGAAAAAGTGTATCCCCTTGGATCCATCACACTTCCCGTCACCGCCGGAGTAACACCCCGAAGCTCCACAGTCATGGTCAACTTCCTGGTAATAGAGTGCCCGTCAGCCTACAACATCATATTAGGGCGGCCAGCTCTTAACACATTGAGAGTTGTGCCCTCTACCTACCATCTCGTTCTCCGCTTTCCAACCTCAAATGGTGTCGGAGAGGTCAAAGGGGACCAAATAACAGCCAGAGAGTGCTATGTATCCTCTATGAAGGCTAGGAAGCCCCAAGAAGCATTGCAGGTTGAGGTCCTTGACCCAAGGGATGACTCCGCAACAGAAAGAGGAGAACCAGTCGAGGAACTCATCCCTGTGGTTTTAGAAAAGGAGCACCCAGACAGAAGAATTTACATTGGCTCTTCCCTTTTGAAGAGCTGGCTCCCCTGTTGATTGATTTTTTGAAGCGTAATATGGACATCTTTGCTTGGTCGCATGAGGACCTTGAGGGCATCGACCCAGAATTAGCTACCCACCACTCAATGTCGATCCACTGTACAAGCCTGTTCGCCAAAAGTTAAGGGAACCTCCACTGAAAGGGCCCAAGCCATGGACAAGGAGGTTAGAAAACTGATTGATAACGGGGCAGTCAGGGAAGTGGCGTATCCGGAGTGGCTCTCCAACGTAGTAATGGTTACTAAGGCTAATGGGAAGTGGCGCCTCTGTGTCGACTTCACAGAACTAAACAAGGCATGCCCAAAAGATAGTTATCCACTGCCGCGGATTGACCTCCTCATCGACGCCACCGCTGGACATGAGTTGCTCACTTTTCTGGATGCATACTCGGGGTACAACCAGATTAGCATGCATCCCCCGACCCAAGAGAAGACATCATTCATCACGCCAAAGGGGACATACTGCTACAGGGTCATGCCCTTTGGGCTAAACAACGTTGGGGCAACCTACCAACGGCTGGTGAACAAGATGTTCCAGTCTCAGATCGGGCAAATAATGGAGGTGTACGTGGATGACATGCTGGTAAAGAGCCTTGCAGCAGTAGACCACATCGATCACCTCCAAAAAACTTTCAACGTCCTGAGGTCCTATCATATGAAGTTCAACCCTGAGAAGTGCGCCTTTGGTGTGGGACTGGTAAATTCCTGGGCTTTATGGTCAATCAGAGGGGAATTGAGGCAAACCCTGACAAGATCAAGGACCATTCTTGACATGAAGTCACCCTCCTCCAACCAAGGAGCTCCAGCGTCTCAATGGAAGAATCGCAGCATTAAATAGGTTTGTCTCCAAATCTGCAGACAAATGTCTCTCCTTTTTAAACTCTCCTCTCCGAAAAGCCTTTGAGTGGAAACCTGAGGCAGAGGAGGCTTTTCAAAGGCTCAAAGCCTACCTAGCAGCACCTCCCCTCCTGTCACATGCTACCCCTGGAGAAACTCTTCATCTATACCTTTCTGTTTCCCCATCAGCGTAAGCTCAGTGCTCGTTAGAAACAACAATGGAGTGCAGAAACCAGTTTATTACGTGAGCAGGGCATACCGGGGGCAGAGGTTCAGTCAATATTCAGCACTAGAAAAACTGGCAACTCGCTCTGGTCACGACAGCGAGACGGCTGCGACACTACTTCCAGGGCCATCGTATGATGGTCATCACCGACCAACCTCTTAAAA